CCCTTGCAGATTAGCATGCATTGGAGGGGAAGGGCCCACAGTAGGCCACCAGCTGGATTTCTGCTTCAGGAGCGGTGACAGAACAAGTTGCACATGCTTAGGAAATTGCATTGTTGTCCCCTCACAGACTGTGAATATAAGTAGTGTTCACACCAGCATCAGTTAGCTGCTTTTAAATAAGTAGCAGTTTGAGCTATTATGTTTTGAGAGGGAAACTGTCAGAATTTAATTCATGTGTGCATGTGGATGGTGCACCCAACATCCCTTTAAAACAGTAGCAAAAAAAATAATAAATATTTTTTCTTGTCTGCCATTGCATCTGAAAGTGTTGTTCTGTGGAGTTTTTCCAAGTTTTGGTGAACTTCGGTTGCGGTGACTTTGCAGACTTCATAACTCCCGTTTAGTGTGATTTGGGAGCTTCCACTTCAAATACTGAGCCAGAATCGTAGCTGTCCAGGGCTTTGATTTCTTACTTAAGGTGTTTTTACCCCAGTCAGTATCACGTGTTGAGATGGAACCATGAACATAACTGATACATATTTCCACAACAGATATCCAATTTCTGATTTTAAGTTTTAAATATTGTTTTTATGGTACCATTTTATGTATATTTGTTGCAAACCACTTTGATGTTTTCTTTACGAATTAGTGTGTGTGTGTGTGTGTGTGTGTGTGTGTGTATATATATATATATATATATATATATATATATATATATCATGCGGGTAGTGCTGTGGTCTAAACCACAGAGCCTAGGGCTTGCCGATCAGAAGGTTGACAGTTCGAATCCCCGCGATGGGGTGAGCTCCCGTTGCTCGGTCCCAGCTTGTGCCCACCTAGCAGTTCGAAAACACATCAAAGTGCAAGTAGATAAATAGGTACCTCTCCGGCGGAAAGGTAAATGGCGTTTCCGTGTGCTGCTCTGGTTCGCCAGAAGCAGCTTAGTCATGCTGGCTACATGACCCGGAAGCTGTACGCTGGCTCCCTCGGCCAGTAAAGCGAGTTGAGCGCCGCAACCCCAGAGTCATCCGCAACTGGACCTAATGGTCAGGGGTCCCTTTACCTTTCTATCTATCTATCTATCTATCTATCTATCTATCTATCATCTATCATCTATCATCTATCATCTATCATCTATCATCTATCTATCTATCTATCTATCTATCTATCATCTATCATCATCATCATCTATCTATCTATCTGATGTAGTCATTTCCTTAGTAATCTGCAGTTGACTGTCCCAGGATCTTTAGAAGCTCCCAAGCCAGATGGACAGATGAACAGATAGATACCAGTAGTCATTTCCCCCTTATATTTGTAGTCTACCTTTCCTGAGATGGAGCCCAAGGTTGGGTACATGTGGTTCCCAAGCAGTCATCCATCCGCACACTGACCAAACCCATACCTGCTTAGATTCAGTAAGCTAGCAGCTCCATATGCATTCTGACCATACCCTGGGACAGATGGATGGCTGGTGCAAGAGATGCCTGTCCATGAGCCAATCACTGTAAGCAGCAGTGTTGAAAGGGGGAGAGGTAAATGGATAAACTGGTAGGTTGGAAGAGAAAATAATACTTGAGGTTGTATCTCCTGTGCAATCGAACTTCCCCTCCCTCTCCCCTCCCCTCATGACTTCCATACCTGCTCCAGATCTGCTCTGGATGGCTTGAGGAACCCACAGAACATATTTAAGGTGGATCAGAGAGCGGAGAGGAAGTTCCGTTGCCCTGTCACTACACTAGTGGAGCCACTTCACTGGATACTGCCCATGACATAAAGCAGCTGTAAAATCAAGAGTTGACTTTTACACACTTTTGCACCTGAAGCAAAAAAGAGAGACAAAATTAACATGCAGAGGATGCATTTTGGTATTAGCTTCCTCAGTCAGCACCAAATCACACGTGTTAGTCATGCAACACTAATTCCGTATGAGCTGCACTGCTGCATTTCCAAGCCTAAATTCAAGTGGCCGCTTTTAACCTCATAATTTACCAGAGTTGCTAGAACTGATGGAACTCCAGTAACATCTTGAAGGCCAACCCTTTGACCATACCTACTCCTGCTTTATAGCATTAAATGATTTGGGTGTAAGTTATTTGGTCATTGGCCTTTATTGGCGTAGGTTTAAACAATAAAATCATATAAAGGCATCCAAATACATTCATAATCCAAACACATACAATATATAAAACACTAGATAGCCACCATTGAATAAATTAAGCAACTTTAGATTTAGATTTAAAGATCTCGGCTAAATACCCCAAAGCAATCTTGGTAGTTTGGGGAGTATCATCCCTCAACAAATAATTGGATTACAGACTCTTTGTAAATCGATATTTTAAGCTGTAAGGGAGTCACTAGGAGATCTCTGCGAAGGGTGTCGAGAAGAGGACAATCCAAAATTTTGTGATCTGGTGTTTTCTTATTACAGGAGCAGAATCTGTTCTGGAAGGGGATTTTTTGAAACCTTCCAAACAAAACAGATGAGGGGAATGCATTTAGATGAGCTAGCTTAAAAGCTCTGTGATGCAATGGAGTATCTAAATTATAAAGGCAATTAGGCATTGCTCCATGGTGGGGCTGCAATCCTAAGTAAGCAGATGAACATACAAAAGGCTGGGAGGGGTAGAGTTTTTGGATTTCATGGTCTAGCAGTCTCTGCTTGATGACAGAGAAGATTTGTGACTCATCCAATAAAAGAAGGGAATCTATTACAATCCCTATTTGCCTGAGTTTGAGGATAATATCAGAAAACAATGTAAAATTATGTGTATCTCTCAATAAAGAAGTTAGTAAACTTTCTGGGTCTGTATTAAAGTGATTTTTTAACCAGTATTTGAAAGTCATAATCCAGCCCCTAGATTCTAAGAGATGCTGGCCTAACTCTGCACAAAAAGCAAGATAGGAGATGTATTTTTGAACTCTTAGATTTTTATTTTTATTTTGGAAAAAGGAGGCCTGTACACCCTCGACTTTGTTGTTAAAGTCAGTTATCCATAAAGGAGTTGCGAAACAGTTTTTCCACTATAGCCCCTAACCGCTGCAGGCACACTACCATAAAAAAATAGAATTGTTTAATTCATGCTGCAGAGCATTTAGCTAAGTCGGTTATCCTGTTACGATGGGTCACCCATTTTAGATTGTAATAAAAGGTGATCCATTGGTCTTTAAAGCTTTTAACTTGTTTGATTTCTTGATCACCAATACACCATTTAGATGAATGCCAACCCTTTGAAAATACCAAGATATTGGATTTTGAGTAATTAATCGCTAGGCGATTTCCTTGGCAGTAATGAAAGAACACTTTTAGACATCTAAAAGTGCCCAACTCTGGTGCAGGAGAGACAGTGTCATCAGCATATAAAACTATGGGAACTGCCTTAGGTCCTAACCTAGGAGCCATTCACAACAAATAGATGCTGTTTCATTAAATAGATGTGGAGCAAGAATACAGCTTTGTTTGACTTCTTTAGTAGTTGTAAAGATAGGTGATAAGTGGCCATCTGGGGAAATCTTCACCTGACACATAGTATTCGTATGCAGCTTTTTTTATCAAGAAAAGTAATCGGGGTTCTAGCCCAATAGCATTCAATTTCTCCCATAACAACCCCCTGGGTATCAAGTCAAAAGTACTTTAAAGGTAAAGGTAAAGGGACCCCTGACCATTAGTTCCAGTCGTGACCGACTCTGTGGTTGCGGCGCTCATCTCACTTTATTGGCCTAGGGAGCTGGTGCACAGCTTTTTAGGGTTTTGTGTTGTTACTGCATTCTTGATCATTGTTTTGTTGTTCTAACCGTGTTTTCGTATACTTTTTTTAAAAAAAACTTGAGATAGTTTCCCCTGCTTTAAAGGAGTCTGAGAAACATTATAAATAAATATAATTAATTCTGAATCCTTGACTGAAGAGCTCGTAGTAATCGCTAGGTATTTTTGTTGTCAGTCTCTTTTGATCATTTTGCATGCTCTCCTTTACTAGTACTTAATTCAAAGAGATCCTTCAGAGAGCAACTTTCCTCCCTATGGAGTTCCAGATCTGTTTTTTGGGGACATTTGAAACATTCTGGAATGTCATGGGGTAGGGCAGGGCAGTTTGGAGCAGGGAAATTATGTGCAGAGAAAGGTCTAAATCTTCACTCCCTTGCCACTTCTGCAATCCTGATCACCTCTCCTCAAGGAACACTTCCTGTTTTAGAAATTGCCATGGAGACAATATGGCTCACTACCATCTAATATGACAATGGCTCTTAATCTAAAGTGAGGCTCACTTGAACATTAAAACACTTAACATTTTAAACCAGCAATTAATATTTAAGTATAGCTACACAAATTGTTAAAAGAAGGAGTCTACATTATTGCTCTGATGCCCATCAGCGTGCAGAAATAATTTTTTCGGTTTCATGATGAAATACAACTGGTTATCCCCCCTTCTTTAGAGGAGAGGGACTTTATTGCTTTGTGTAAAGTCTTAGATTTGTTATACAATTGTCTGTTTCCTTTCCTCTTCTTTGAGATTCAGTCGAAATATTTAAAAGACAAAACATATTGTCAAGAGTTTAGATATTTTTTTCCTCCAGACTTTTCTTTCTTTCTTTCATAAAGCTACCCACAGCAAACTGCTTGTCATTAAATTCTATTTTCTTGGCAGTTGCTATTAAGCGTATGCAAGTCTGGAGTCATTTGTGAAACATCAGCTGTCATGAGTTTGTTCCAATTTATAATCATCCAGGATTTTCCACGTTGCTTTCAAAGAACAGGGTTAAATGCATGCCCCGAAAGAGAGTTGGAAATGGCTTGCTGATCTCTATTAATCTGCTGTTTCTATAATCAAACACATGTGTTTGTTTATCTGGTTAAATTGTTAATGATATCGAAATTGGCTGCTGGAAGCTGAATCATCCAGCAGACATTTCCGTCGCTGTTTCTTGAGTCTGCCTTGTGCTGTGGCCTGTAAAAGAACAATATATTCATAATTTTAAACCATTACACTAACTTCTTGCAGATCTCATCTCAACAAACCACCCCATCCCCTATTTTAGACGAGTGAGATTTGATGTCTCGGCGATGGAAAAAAACGCTTCCAACCTGGTGAAGGCAGAATTTAGAGTCTTTCGGTTGCAGAATCCAAAGGCTCGTGTCTCGGAACAACGGATAGAACTGTATCAGGTAAAACTGTGGTGATCATTGCTGTCTCATGACTGTTACCTGTGTGACCCTTTCTGTGCAATGTAGAGTTCGGCTGATTTTGATGTACGCTCTCTCTTAACAGGGAACTGTGAGAAATGTAGTTCATGTGAGGCAGGTCTGGGGATCTGCAACAGAATTCTCACTACCTCACCAAACCACAATTCCCAGGATCCTTTGGGAGATGCCAGACCACTATAAATAGTATAAAGCAGATCTAAGTTTGTAGTATGTGTATTAACATATTCAAGAATCTCTTGCATGTTTTCTGTCAGAGAAATGGGAAGAACAACCTGAACATGTATCCCAGCCAATTCAGTTTCACACTTACTTTAGAAACCATAGTTTAAGCCTCAGGTGTGAAAACAACCATAGTCTGTTGAATTGTTTTGATTGGAGCTCATGGTCTCCCTCTTGCTGGGCTAGATGGGTCTGGTTTGATTCATAAGGGATTGTCTTATGTTCTTGGGAGCTGGAAAAGAAGGTTTCTCCTTAAGACGCTTTTGTGTTGTTGTTGTTTAGTCGTTTAGTCGTGTCCGACTCTTCGTGCCCCCATGGACCAGAGACGCTTTTACAGTAGAATTAAAAAAGTGGTACCTCAGGTTAAGAACTTACCGTATTTTTCGCCCTATAGGACGCACCTTTTCCCCTCCAAAAATGAAGGGGAAGTGTGTGTGCGTCCTATGGGGTGAATGCAGGCTTCAGGAAGCTATCTGCAAGCCTTGGGAGCTCCGCGGGAGTTCCCGTCGGGCTCCCAAGGCTTGCGGATAGCAGCCTGCATCCCGAAGCCCGGGCTTCGTGCAGATATCGGGCAGCCCCACAAGCTCGGGGGACAGTGGGGAGGTGCAGCGCTGCCATCCCGCTGTTCCCCGATCTGGGGGGGGAAAAATAAATTTCCCCCTTTATTTCCCCCCCAAAAAACTAGGTGCGCCCTATGGGCCAGTGCGCCCTATGGGGCGAAAAATACGGTAATTCATTCTGGAGGTTCGTTCTTAACCTGAAACTGTTTTTAACCTGAAGCACCACTTTAGCTAATGGGGCCTCCCGCAGCCGCCGCGCACTTTCTGTTCTCATCCTGAAGCAACGTTCTTAACCTGAGGTATTATTTCTGGGTTAACGGAGTCTGTAACCTGAAGTGTCTGTAACCTGAAGCGTCTGTAACCCGAGGTACCACTATATTAGGTGGGCTGAAACTAAGTAGCTGTGTGAGTATTTTGCACTGGGTATTTTATTAAGGAACACTGCACTATATTATTGCACTTAACAGAGAAATGGTGGCGTCTTGTCAACCCAATGCATGCAGAAGGCCCCAGGTTCAAACCCCAGCACCTCCAAGTATGGCTGGAAGAGAACCCTTCCTCAAACCCTGGAGAGGTGCTGACACCCAACGTAGACAATGCTGAGCTAGATATACCAATAATAGTATAGGGCAGCTCCTATATTCCTCTGCTTGAATAATGCTTCTTTCTTCACTTGTGTCTTGCTCCTGTTGGCATGGCACAGCACCCCTGAACAGTGAGGTCTAGGGTGAGCACGTCATAAGAATTCTGAACTAATATCAAACATAGTATTAATGAGGGCTGCATCCATGTATAATAATATAAAAAGGTAAAGGGACCCCTGACCATTAGGTCCAGTCGCGGCCGACTCTGGGGTTGCGGTGCTCATCTCACTTTACTGGCCAAGGGAGCCGGCGTACATCTTCCGGGTCATGTGGCCAGCATGACTAAGCTGCTTCTGGCAAACCAGAGCAGCGCACGGAAACGCCGTTTACCTTCCCGCCAGAGCGGTACCTATTTATCTACTTGCACTTTGATGTGCTTTTGAACTGCTAGGTTGGCAGGAGCTGGGACCAAGCAAGGGGAGCTCACCCCATCGCGGGGATTCAAACCGCTGACCTTCTGTTCGGCAAGCCCTAGGCTCTGTGGTTTAGACCACAGCACCACCCACGTCCCTAAGTATAATAATATAAATACATATAAATAATGTCATACATACTCAGAACTATGCCCCACTGATTTCTACAGTTAAGCAAGGATGGGATCCCAGCTTTACAGCTGTGTCTTATAAACATTTACTCAGAAGCCAGTCCAGTTCTTATTCCCAAGGACATGTGCTCAGGACTGCAGCGTTAGTTTGTTAAAAATCAGAGCCGAAAGCTGGGTGGAGTCTTTATCTCATCCTCAACCCGTCTGACCCCATTTTGTCGTCTTTGATTATTGATGCTGCTATACATTCCTGGGAGTTTGTTTTATTTTTGTTTCTAACCATTCCGTCACTTAACTGACTTTAAAAAATGAAGCAGCATTGACTCACTTATTTGTTTGTTTAACACGCTTATACCCCACCCTTTAGTAAAAATAAAAATAAGAAAGACTCTTAGAGCAGCTTACAAAAATCAGTACTAAATTAATCCCTGCCCGCTCAGGCTCACAATCTAAAAAGACATGGCACATAAGCAAAAAGGAGTGGGTGGGAGGAGGAAAAAGCAAGCTCCACAACAAGTGCTCTCAACACAGTTATATAGTTCTATTCAAGCAGATTTCGGCCGTCTAAAGTAGCAGCTCCTTGCCAGTGTCAGTGGTTGTCTTTTCCTTGATAAACCACAGTCCCCCCCCCCCCCGGATGCACTCTTCCTGCCCCCTCTTCAGATCCAGGGGCAGAGTCGGTGACAGTGTCCAGGCCAGAAGGGCAGTTCCTGCCATATATTTCTTGCCTCAGACAGCTACTGTGACGGTATTTAGAGTCCTCCCTCATGGGAGTTTGATGGAGTTACCCCTCCTCTCTTAGCGATGTCTGTGGCACTTCATATACAGTGAACTTGCAGCTTCATATGCAATTCAGTTAAATCAGAGTGCTGAGATTTGAGATGCGGGTGGTGCTATGGTCTAAACCACTGAGCCTCTTGGGCTTGCTGATCAGAAGGTTGGCAGTTCAAATCCCCGCGACGGGGTGAGCTCCCGTTGCTCGGTCCCAGCTCCTGCCAACCTAGCAATTCAAAAGCACACCCAAAAGTGCAAGTAGATAAATAGGAACCGCTCCGGCAGGAAGGTAAAAGGCGTTTTCATGCGCTGCTCTGGTTTCGGTGTTCCAGAAGTGGCTTAGTCATGCTGGCCACATGACCTGGAAAAACTGTCTGCAGACAAACGCTGGCTCCCTCAGCCTGTAAAGTGAGATGAGCGCTGCAACCCCAGAGTCGTTTGCGACTGGACTTAACTGTCAGGGGTCCTTTACCTTTTTTTTTTAGTCCCCCCCAAAACCAGCAACAGGGACATGGCATTTTCAGCTTAACTTCACTGTGATTTTTCATGCGTTTTGTGTTTAGCCATTTCCCTCAAACGACGTCTGTGAAATGATTAATTGAAATTAGGAGCCTGCCGTACGTTCTTACATCTTCAGCCAGATAATATTAACAACACCACCCCTGAGCCAATTCATATAATTTAAGCCCTTTGTTTCGAACCCTGTTTTCTGCTTGTGTTTTCTGTTTCCTTTACCACATGGCTGCCAGGCTTCAGACTACAGATTGTTGATTATATTCTGTGTTGTGATAATTCACCACCATATGAGATACCATTTATATTTTTTTGTTTCAGACACGAAAACATATTGGGTTATCTTGGCTTTGGGGAGGGGTGAGGACAGGGGGTGACTTTGGTAAGCTCTGGGGGGGGGGTAGCTTTGGGGAGGTAGGGGGTTTGTGCGGATAGGCAGGGTTGGCAAGCAAAGAAACCAGGGGCACAGCCCCTGGTGTGTGTGAAAGAGTCAGTGACTTATTAGTTTGATATAATAAAACTTGATTTAAAATTTGCATTCCACTTTTCCAACAAAGTGTTGAGTGACTCGCAGTAATGACAAGTGTTAACAATTAGCAAACGTTTCAGTCAATACGACCATAGCCTGAACTGAATATGGAAGTGATCAAGAAAGAGATCATCTCATGGTTTATTCATGGACTCTAATACTGGTTTACTGTCTGCAAAAAGCCACTTGCAGTTGCCATCTCGGCCTGTGATAAATGTGCTCAGATGATTTATTTTACCACTTCCACATTTATTTGAGGCTGGAGAAGCGGCAATTCCATGGATGGAAAGTAATCCTAGAATGCGGATGTGTGAATACTAGTCCTTCCAAATAGGGGCCGTTTGTGTACAGTCCCATTGACTACTGTACATACATCATCAGGCTGCAACGAGATGTTATGACAATCACCAAAAACCACTGTTTGCCTCCTTTTCCCTCCAGTAATGTTTAGTAATTTATATTATTTATTCCTTATCTAGAGTTGTAGACCACCCTTCATCACTTTTATAATGATCTCAGGGCAGTTTCCAGAATATCATAAAATAAACATCATTACACACACACACACACACACACACACACACACACACACACACACACCAGTTAAAACTATCATTAAAATTGCAGTTAATGCTGAATGCTGCAGCACAATTGCTGACAGGAATAAGATTCTGTCAGCATATTACACCTTTGTTCAAAGATCTGCACAGGCTGCTCTTTTGTTACAGGGCCAAGTTGAGTGTTTTACTATTGGTATATAAAGACGTGCCTTCTCAACCAATTTCAGCCTGCAGAACTTGCCCTTTTACAAGTGCCAAATAATGTAGATTCCACATTTTCAGGGAATCAGTCTTTAGACTGTGTCAGCACCTGAAACCTTTCTTAAGCCTACCCAGAAATATGAATTAGTTACCTGTATTCATTCCTAACATTTTACCAATTTTATTTTTGTTTTAATGTTAATTGTTTTAATGATGATGATTTTATGCATATTTGGTTTTCTAATAGTTTTTGTGGATTTTAGCTGTGTATTATTTGCAATTTTATTATGCACACCCCTTAAAACTAATAAAAAGAAACACCCCCAGAGCATCCTAAAATTACTGAAAACAGAAAGCGGCCTCGCTGGTTTATGCCTGGTAGAACAGGAATGTTTTGCCTTGATGATGGCAATCCAT